TTGGCCAGGTCAGGTTTTATCCCTACAGGACGCTCTTCCTCTCCCCTCCCCTCCCATCCCTCCTTCTCATCCACACCAGTTTTATTATATATAATAAAAAACCTCGATCGTCCGCGTTATGAATTACAGATTGGCCAATGCATAGAGCAATCGAGCATCGAGTCGTGGCAGCACCGCGGGTAACGCATACCTGGCCAGGGGAAGGGGAGGAAAGGGAGGGGAGGGGGACTGGAGCTTGGTATCCGTCAGTCTCGCGTAGGATGAGTGGGACGAGGACGACGTAAAAGTACGACGACGATCCATCAGATTGTTACGAGCAGTGAAATTTGCAACAGTGAGTTCTTATACCCTTTTTCTTCTTCTTCCTTTACTGTGATTCGAAAGTCATCCTCTATAAACACTTTGTTGCTTGAATATTGCTACAAGACGACGAGCTCGATTAACAGAAAAATGAAAAAAGAAACGAAAGAATTAATTACATTCACATGAGAATGGTGTCATTAAGAAATATTACTTATAGCAATAATTCGAAAATTTAATATAATATTATATAAAAATTTAATATAAAAATTTAATAAAACCTAACCTCGCTTTTCAATATTATCGAAACTTTAAGAAGAAGAAGAATAAATATGTTCGCACTCTTTCATCCGTGTTTCGAACAATTCACAATAATTCGACTGTATATATATAGAATAAGAAAGAAGAAGAAAGAGAGAAAGAGAAAGATGGACGTAAGAAGCGGAGAGCGCGTATAAATATAGCGGTGTATATATACGCGCTCTCCGGGATACGTCACCCGATTAATTTGTTGTTAGCAAACAGGTTGGCAAACTGCGAGCGGATGCTGGCTCGAGAGCAAATAAAGGAGCCTCCATTTATTAAGCCGGCAATAAAATAGCGCTCCTCTCCTCTTCGTTTCGCCGTCTTCCCTCTCGATCCGTTCCGAGGCCCGTGGGTGGAACGTCGAGGTGGACCAAGGGGAGGGAAGGAGAGAGAGAGAGAGAGCGAGCGAGGGAGAGAGGGGGGCCCCACACGTCGGGGGACACGGCTGATTTATGCGAAAATCGGGGAGGGGAGGGGGACTCGGGGCCAGGATTCGAGAGCGCAACACCGCTGCACGAGGTAATGCCCTGCTACACACGTTGAATCGGGTTAATCCACCCCGAACCCTGTCCACCAAGGGGGAAGGAAGGAAGGAGGAGGAAGGTGGAAGTCGGTAACGTTGGATCAGGTCGAGTTGTGTGGAACAATCGGTGGGAAATTTTGCGGAAAAATTCCAATTCCGCGTGGAAAATTCAATCTCCTCGTGTGGGAATATTTATTTCAAATAAGCACGAACTAAGAATGAATATGAATTGTAATATTCAAACTTGATTCATGAATGTATTAATAAATAATGTAATTCCATTCATTTTGCACTTTGCTGAATGTGGAAACATTTGTTGTAACTTTAGATTGGATAAATGTAAATTAGAACAGAAGTATCCAAGCTTGATTAATAATTAATGTAGAAACATTTATTATATCATTGGAAGTGTGCATTTATAGAAGAATTTTGTATTTTGCTGAATATGGAAACATTTGTTATAACTTTAGATTGGATAAATGTAAATTAGAACAGAAAGAAGTACTCAAGTACTTAATTAATGAATGTAGAAACATTTATTATATTGGATAAGTGCAAAGTGTGCAAACTTGTGGAAGAAGAATCTTAATTTTGTATTTTGTTGAAATAGAGGGTAGTATCCAAATTTGGTTTATGAATGTATTAATTCTAATGTAATTTGATTTGCTTTGTATTTTATTTTAAAAAGTGCATTTATAGAAGAATGTGCATTTATAAAACAGAAATACAGAAAAAGAAGCTTCATTAATAAATGAAATTGACATTTACTATACCATTGGATAAATACAAAGTATACATTTATAGAAGAATCTCTAATTTGTATTTTGCTGAATGGAAACATTTATTGTAACTTCAGATTGGATAAACTAGAACAGAAGTACCCAAACTTGATTAATGAATATAGAAACATTTATTATACCATTGAATAAGTGCAAAGTGTGCAAATTTGTGGAAGAAGAATATCAATTTTATATTTTTCTGAATGGAAACATTTGTTGTAACTTTAAATTGGATAAATGCAAACTAAAATAAAAGTATACAAGCTTGATTAATGAATGTAGAAAAATTTATTATGCCATTAGAAAAAAAGTACCCAGACTTGAATTAATGAATATAGAAACACCATTATTATATTGGGTAAATGCAAAGTGTGCATTTAAAGAAGAATCTCCAATTTTGTATTTTGCTGAATGTGGAAACATTTGTTGTAATTTTAGATTGGATAAATGCAAACTAGAACAAAAATCCAAGTATCAAATAGAAACATTTATTATACTGGATAAGTGCAAAGTATATACTTATAGAAGTGCAAATTAGAATATCAAACAAAGACATATAGAAACATTTAGGTTAAGTCAAGTATAAATTATACACTTATGGAATTCAATTTTGTATTCTGTTAAATACAAAAACATTTACTTAAGTGCAATTTATGAAACACAGGTATTGAAATATTAATTTTATATTTTATCAAATATGGAAAAAGAGACAACTATTCATGATATTAATCCTCCAATTAATATAATCAATAAAAACTTCTAAACGTTTATTTATCCGTTATCGAGAAAGGTTTTCATTTTCAAAAATTGTTATCACGGAAAATTTATAAATTTCCACATTTTCACGAAAAATCAAAATCTGTAACCACAAGTTTGTCGTATACACTGAACGAATCGTGGATAGGACGATTAGCTCGGTGATTTGTTGCTTCCCTTCGGTTCTTCGGGTCTATCGTCACCCAATTTGGACGGTGGCATGCGGTGGATCTTTGGAGGACGGCAGCGCGATCGGGAAAATCGATAAGGGGGATTCTACGAAACCTTTGGAATAATATGCTCGTTTGCTTTAATTATGCAAACGCGATCCAACCGAAATCCGCGTCTAGGCGACGAGTTTATCGTCGGACAGATCGATTGCGCCACAGATCCGGGCGTTAGATCGTTATCGTCGCGTTAATTCCTTCTCTCAACCCGTTTAACATAAATCACCAAAAAGTTTGAAATTAAATTCTTTTTTCTCTCTCTTTTATATCCCCCCATCTTCTCTGATTTCTCTTATTAATTTTACAATAGATCTTCTAATTCTGTTCGTATTATATAAAATATGTAAAAAAATAATGTACGCTGATTTTGCAATTGTTTTGAAAATTTATAAATGCTTCCGATGAAATTAAAATTTTTATCCTTTGCTCGAGCAATAATATATATCCATCGATCAATGTAATTTCATTTATTTTTAATGGATTTTTCGAAACTATCTAATTTTTTAAATTCTTTTATTTAAAGAAAAATGTATCTAATTATATGTATAATTATACTTTTATAAAATCGATTCTGAAACAGCAATTTAATTCAAATTACTTTAAATAATTAAATCTTGTGTTAATTATTTAAATTGCTTAATAAATAAATCTCGATTTTTTTTCCTATATATAAATATATGTGTTAACTCCACCAACCGCAGTACACGGTTTATAAAAAACCACATTCTCGCGGTGATAATTAGTTCCAACGGTATTACCCGCTCCCATTATCCCGACACGTGTTTCCAAACTTTGAACACCCAACATGGCTGACCCGGTTTGAACATATCTCGTGTATCGAACCACTCGTAGAATTTATCCTTTCCTATCTTCTTTCACATCTCAAGCGAAAATTGAGTTAATTTATAATAATTTCGAAAAATTGGAAAAATTAAAATTTTCCAAAAAAATCGTCGTTCCATATCGAAATATTGGAACAAAAAAGAAGAAAAAAAAAAAATTAAAGACAAACGATTCGCCAAAGAGAATTTACCCCTTCCCCTCCCTCCTCGAAAGACGATACTCCGTAGTAAAGGCCGTAAACTCGAGTTCCCCGTGGATATATACACGAATACAACATTAGGGGATGTATAGAAAATTCCTGTTCACGGAGAAGAAGGAATATTTAATTCAAAGGTTAAGGGGGGAGGAAGAGGGGGAGAGGCCTGCGGCGAGCGCGTAAAAGAGGAGAACGTCGCTTCTGAAAGTATACGAGGAGAGGGGGAGGAGGTCGGGTGCGCTTCTGGATGCCCCCCTCCCCCTCCCTCCTCGAAAGACGATACTCCGTAGTAAAGGCCGTAAACTCGCGTTCCCCGTGGATATATACACGAATACAACATTAGGGGATGTATAGAAAATTCCTGTTCACGGAGAAGAAGGAATATTTAATTCAAAGGCTAAGGGGGGAGGAAGAGGGGGAGAGGCCTGCGGCGAGCGCGTAAAAGAGGAGAACGTCGCTTCTGAAAGTATACGAGGAGAGGGGGAGGAGGTCGGGTGCGCTTCTGGATGCCCCCCTCCCCCTCCCTCCCTCCGGCTCGAGGGTAAAGGCACCGCCAATTAGCTCGAAATAATGAACGCATTTCGGCGTCTTTTGTTTTGCTTCCGTTCGCCGCCTAGCTAGGTAACAGAGCGCCCCGAGCGAGAAGCGTGGCATTACAATAGAGGAGAGGCTCTCTCTATCTCTCTTCCCCTGTTCTCTGAAAACTCGCCAAAGTCTAAAAGATTATGGATGAAAAAAAACTGGTAGACGCAGAAACGTTTTGGACGAGATGGAATTAGTACTCGATGAAATTTCTCTTTTCTCCTTTTTTTTTTTTTTTTTTTTTTTGGAAAAATTCGATTAGCAAAGTTAGAATACGTGTAGGTTCGAATTATTATCATCAAGCTACGTCAGTCACGATTAGGTCGGTAACAATTCAATCTACGTCGATCACGATAAAGTTAGGTTAGAATCCAAGGAAATTGGCGGATGGAAAAATCCAATTCAGGATCTTCTTGCCAATCGGGATCTCGAACAATAAAAATTTGATTCGAGCAACGAAAAATTTTTCGAATCCAAAAAAGCAACGAGATTGCAAAGAGGTCCTTCCTTACTCTGTTGTTCATACGTCAAACGAGAAGGTGTCGCTACTATACTCGTATACCGGAAGAGAGAAATCTCTCGAAATCTTTGGGTGGGGGAGGGGGGGGGGGGGCAAGATGGGGCCTGGCGTACCGGGTGGTTGATTCAGGGTGAGCCGGTAGTCGAGACGTTGGGCGAGCACGGTATGCGTACACGAGTTACGATAAGTATCGCGACACATGTCGGCGTAAGTGGCGCGATCAATAAGGCGCGCGCGCGAGAGCTAAGGAGAAGAGATTCGTCTCTTTGGCGCGGTTGGAAGTCGAGCCGCCCGATGGGATTGAAACGGACGATTCGTTCTCGTCCTGGTTCGTTGCTCGTTTGGTTGTCGTTTCGAGGAGAGACAATGACCTTGGCTCTATTATTAGTTCCTTGTTCGACCACCAGAGTAGTTTTACATTTAATAACAGTAATGTTCCTTTTCTTTTTTGGTGTTATTGATGAAAGATTTATCTGTGGATACGAATAATAGAAATGGGATTGTGATATTTACGTGTATAGAATTCTGTGTTGTTTTTTATGATGTGTAAGGAGGTTTGGTTAAGAGACAATGAGTTTTACTTGGAGGATCTATTAGTTAGTTCACCAGAGTTCAGATTTAATAGGATTGTGATATTTGTATGGAATTTTATATTTTATGTTGTGATATTTTTTGGTTTTTGTTGATAAAAGACTGTTTGTGGATATAAAATAGAAATAGAATTGTGTATAGAATATTTTGTGATATTATGATATAGGATAAGGAGATTAGATTAGGTTAAGAGAAAATGAGTTTGATTTGGAGAATCTATTATTAGTTTCTTGTTTGATCACTAGAGTTCAGATTTATAGTAATAGTATTCTTTTTTTTATTGATGACTATCTATGGATATAAAACAGAAATAGGATTGTGATATTTGTATGGAATTCTATTTTGTGTTGTTATGATATTTTTTGGTGTTGTTGATAAAAGACTATTTGTGAATATAAAATAGAATTGTAGGTTAAGTGACAAGAGACAATCACATTTTGTCTTGGAGAAATTTTAAATTTGTTAGTATTCTTTTCATATTAATGGAATCTATCTACATAAAATATAAATAAGACTGTGTGTGTATAAAATTCAATCCACATTCTTTGCTATTATAATATGAAATAATACTTAAGTTAGATTATAAAGTTATTTATAAGGATTATAAGTTCATTATTTTCTCTTTTTTCTTATAACATCATATAGGACCTATGCATAATTTCTCTAACCTATCTTCATAAATCAACACTGAATTATAGATAATTGTATCAATATCCTGTATCAAAAGATCTTCATCATAAACTAAAGCATTCTTATTCAAATTCTACATATATATATATATATATACACCAAGATTATTTACTCACTTATAACAAATATTATAAGTGTACAATTAATAATTATAAGAAAAATCGTGCAATATAATTCAATAAAAACGTGAATAAAATTCTTCAAATAAAATGCATCCCAA